CAACCCACTGCCACAGGGGCTACAGCCTACGCCGTCACAGGCGACTCACGGCAGCCCAGCTCCAGGTTGAGCTGTTGTTCAGCATCTTAGCTGTGGAGGACAGTGTCACTGGCCCTCATATGTGGGATCCGAACCGGGGCCCTCTGGTATCCCAAGCCTGTTCTTAACCATCACGCCACTCGGCCGGCCCTACATACTAATTATTAAGTCAATTATTTATTCTTGTTTTCAAGCTTTTTACTTGTTATATGAAAAACAACATATTGTGAGGTCCAACAAATACACATTCTTTAATATAAGTGTAACAAATTGTGCTTCTGAATATGAAAAGGTAACTAATGAACAAAACACCTGGCACTCAGCAGGTACTCAATAAATAAGTTTCCTTTTAACTAAATAGTAGGTTAAGATAATTCAAATCCCCAGAGCAAATAAATATTAGGAAATATTAGGAAATAAATGTTTCATTTACTAACAATGGTAATTCGCCAATGCTCCTAAACTTTTTTAAAGAGAATTTAACTTTCAGCACCAGTGAATAATTTTATTTCAGTTAAAGAAACTTGAGAAAGAAACTTTAAATTATTTACATCAATCCCATATAAAGAAGAAATTTAATCTGTTGATTCAGGAAAATTTCAGAATAAAATTGAATTTCTCAAAGAGTAAACAATCAAACTATAAAAAGGCTTAAATTATATACCTGATGAAATAATTCCATGTCGATTTCAGCTTCTGACTTCCAAGAGTTTTCATCTGATTGAAATAAAAATAGTGATTTACTAAAATTTTTTACTTGTCGCTGTAACTATATCTTTATAACAAAGTGAAACATGCAACAATCTCTACACCAGTATTATGCCTACTTACCAGAAACATTTTCTTGGAAAATCACTTTAGTTCCTTTCAGAAAGTTCTTGCCGATTAAAAATACTTCTTCCTCTCCTTTCACTGAACAGCTATGCAGGCTTTTCTTTAAGATTTCTGGCACTCCTGCTGGTTGAGCTGTGGGTATACATAAGCATTCCATAAAAAAACCACCAACACTTATTTCTTATCTAAAATCAACCCTCAATTATCCAGTTCTATAAGTTGTCTCTGAATCTGACTACCTTTATTCTACATCTTTTACCCTAACAGAGAACAGAAAAAAATAGAAAAGTCCATATTAATTTTTAGTAACTCTTGTAAGATTTTATAGGAATGGATTAATGTCTAAGAACAAAGTTTTATTATGTGCCTTCTTTGCTTTCTCATTACATAAATTTAAAAAGTTTTAAAATATGAGCTCGGTCATGGTTTTGCCTTAATAATCTTTTTAGAACTTCAATTAAAAAATATGATTGTCCCACAATCCTAACCTTAAAAATATCAGCTAAGTTATGCCATTACAAGACTTGTCAGGCACTGAGCGCCTCTGGGGCTTAAGGATCTAGACCAGGGGCTTACAGGACCCATACCAAAAGAACATCTAAACACAGACTGAATCCATTTCAGAGAAGAATTCTTTCTACCAGGAGATCTCCCTGGAGTGGGCTACCTTGAGATTAAAAAATAAAATGCACTTGATTTTCAATTACAAAGATTAACCAACCACTACTAAAATTAACAAAAAGGTTGACAAGTACCAAAGAACCAGATCTAATGAATAAACTGTAATCACCCTATCAACTTCATGCTAGGATTTCCTTAAAATGTAATAGCTATTACTTAGCAAAACAGGTTTCTAGTCAAGTGAATCAGGGAAATACTGGGTTAAGCAAAGCTAAATGAACAAAAAGATTTCTCTATGCATTATATATTTTGATGTACGTTAAATATCCAAGAAATGGGTATAGTCTAGTTTCCTCAATATTTGACTCCATAAACATTCTTCTTTATTGACACCTAAGGACCAGTTTTCCATGAGAATACTTTCTAGGATATTGATATATGTAAATAACTACATTTTAAAATACTCAAAAACCCTGTTCCCTTTAAAGTTAAGTACTTTGACACAGATCACACTATTGTGTTAACAAACAATAAATACAACATATACACTGCAAAGGTAAACTTAAATATGGCTTGTATAACTCATCAACTTCTAAATTAATCAGATATTCCACTAAATTTTAGAAAAAGTTTGTTTTTTTCTCCTTAGATATTTAATTATTTAATAGTTAACTTTATCTTTACAAGAATGTAATGTAGGACACTGCTATTGTCCAAATTTTCACTGCTCCTCTTTCCCTAGGCCCTTCCTTGGGGAAAGGCTGTAATTCTCCCTCACTTACATCAAGATTAGCCCATGTGACTTGTCCAAATAGTAAGTGTGAACTGCAGTAATGTGCCAGTTCCTAACAAAAATTTTAAGAGCCTCACATGGTTCCATCTTCTCCTTTTTCCTCCACTACAAAAATGGCAATATCCCAGATAAGGACAGCTTCTTCAGCCTGGATCCCAGAGTGAAGAGAATGTACCTGCTTCCAAACCATAGCCAATAATATCATAAAGTGAGAGAGAAGTAAAACTTAGTCGTTTCAAGCCACTGAGATATTTTTGTTGTTGCTGTTTGTTACAATGGCATCATTTAGCCTCACTTACTGATACAAATATTTAAGTATCCTATTCTTCTTAAATATTTAAGTGCCAAATGATATTTTCAGCAATGTCTGAAAGTTTAAAGAAATTGTGCATGTATATACATGTACACCGTCTAGAGCCCACAGGGTTAATGTATGAACTAAATGGAAACAGTTATTGGTGATACACTAGCAATTATATACCCTTTTTACATGAAAAATCAACAACTAATTTATAACTTTTTTGAGTAACTTTAGAACTAAATAGTTTGTTTTTAAAGGACATTCAAAAATACAGTAAACATTTTTATTAGAAAACAGTAAGAGGTACAAAATTATATGACTATATTGTATTAACAAAAATGGAAAGTCTATAACCTTTCCCCCCATTTTCAAATGCTATGTGGAAATTCCACTTCACTGATTATCATCAAAACTTCTTTTCCCTATCTCATTTTTTCCTTTTATGTATTAAAGGCATACGATGGCCAAATAAGGGCTCTTTGAAGGTACAATGTGGATTTATCGTCTATGTATTTGTATTTACATTACACAAAGAACTAGTCTGTTACTGTTCAGGATAATTTAACCTTAAACTGTTGACCTTAAAAGGTTTTTTCTTTTAAAAAAGTGTAATGGGGGCCAGCCGAGTGGCGCATTGGTTAAGAGTTGGCTTGGGACACCAGCTCTGAGCAGCAGGGCTCCAATTCGGATCCCACATGAGGGCCAGCGACGCTGCGCCCTCTACAGCTAAGATGAACAACAGCTCAACCTGGAGCTGGGCTGCCATGAGTGGCCGCGACAGCACAGGCTGCAGTGGTGCTGCAGTGGGCTGCTGTAAAGCTACCGTGAGTGGCTGGCAGCCAGCGTGCGCGGCCGGCAGCAGACGTGAGCTGCCAAGAGCCCCGTGAGTGGCCATCCAGGGCCCGGTGACCAATCTGCCTCACCCGGGAAGAGCGCAATGATAATACCAACGTGGGCCAGGGAAGCGACGTCCTCCACAACTAGACTGAAGAACAAAAGGACAGCAACTTGTCTGTTCCCCAATGCTGTTCCCCTCCCCCAATTCCCCAATAAAAAAAATCTTAAAAAAAAAAGAAAAAAAGTGTAATGGTTGCCTAACAGGACAGCCTTTATACTAAAGAGAACTAATATCAGGATTATTTAAGCACTAAATGTTTATCTTTAAGTAAACAGTAAGCTGACTCTTGAAAGTGATTTCACACTGCTTAAAAATTTTAACAAAAAAAAGCTACCTTTCTGGTATTATAAAAACATTGCGCTGTTTAGATGCTTGCAAATCGTGGTCTCAAAAACAAAGCTGAAAAAATTAATGAATGTCTGAATACTTCCAAACAATAAAGCAATCATTTCAACCTGTCAAAATAATTAGTAAAGCTTTTTAATAATGTCTGTGAAGAGAAGGAAAGTTTATACAATGATATTGGTTTTTTTTCCTAAAGTTGTGGGATCAACAGAAATAAGAGAAGTAGAAACTTATTAAATTCAGTCAGATTTAATACAATAAACACTATAAGATAAAATCTAATATAGATTATTGAGGAAAGCTATGATTCATTTTATTAAAAAAACTACAGGAAGGTGAATACTAAAAAGTATGAAAATTGATATTCTTAACTTGATATAGTATAACTGAATAATAAAAACAATATATCAAAACAGAAAACATATATACCTTTATTGTCTGTTGAAATCTAAAGATGTCAGGGATGTAAAAGAGGATGATTCTTTCATCCCCTTAAAAACAAACAAACAAAAAGACAATGGATCCAATGGCCATTGTTAAATCAACAAGCAGCAGCAGGACTTTTTTTTCAAGGTCACAAGGCACAACCTGAATTCTGGCATTAGGCCTTCTTTCCATTGAGTGTCTCTAGATGGAATATCAAGTATCTGTGTCCTTTCCTCCCTTCTACCTCTATCACCTTTTGGTCCCTCTTCCTTTTCTACCGCACTCTCATCTTCCTGTTTCCTTTTGTCTACCATTCCAATTTTAACCCTTCTTACTAACCTATTTCCATTTCACCTCTCATTCTATCCAACTGCTCAAACCTGCCGAAAAGGTTTCATTTATGGACATAAATACAAATCAGAAACCTATAATGGAACAGACATTCTTATTTTTAATTTTTTAATAAAAAGATTTTGGGGGTGCTTTGTCTCACTGTGTATTTTTTATCTATTTACTTGTCCTCTCCCCTCAGACACCTCACTCCAAAGCCTAAGTTCAAACCTCAGGCTCCCTAAAGTAGACAGGATAAAATTCAAATTCTTTAGCTCAACACACAAAGTCTCTTTAAGAAAGAGATCTTCCACTTCACTCCAGTCAGAATGGCTATCATCAATAAATCAACAAACAAGTGCTGGTTAGGCTGTGGAGAAAAGGGAACCCTGGTGCACTGTTGGTGGGACTGCAGATTGGTGCAGCCATTATGGAAATCAGTATGGAGGTATCTCAAAAAAC